CCATTCCTCCCACAGTCGTCCCCACCTCAGTTAATGACAGCGCTGTCACTGACTTTTTTTCTCACATTCTTCACATCCAACATGTCTGCAGTGCCTGAGAACTCTACCTTCAGGATATTTGTAGAATCCATCTGCTTCTCATCACTGTATTGTTCCCACTCTGGTGCAGTCCATATCTTGCCCCAATTTCTGTAATAGTCTGGAAGTCTCAACTTCCAACGTTGAGTTTCTGCTGTATGTTCGCAATGCAGGAATGTATCTGAATGATCCTGTTCAGATGTGAGTCACATCATGTCACTCATCTGCTCAGAATTCCTCAAAGGCTGTCTATTTCCTTCAGAATAAAAGCTCAATAAGGCGACCTATTAAAAAATTAATTATCACTAAGAAAAAAATCACATGAATGTCTCCACAGATGATGAAAAGGCATTTTCAATGAAATTTCAGCATTCTTCCTTGATAAGTAAAAAACGTTCAATGAAATAAGAATTCATGGATTCTTTTTATTTCAAACCCAAAGTCAACCTCCTACTTACTGAGTAAACACCAGAAGCATTTCCTTAATGTCAGAAACAAGAAAGGAAAGAAGGAAAATTGTAGTTATTTCCAGATCATGTGACTGTCAACTTGGAAATCTTCAAGAAATACACTATTATAAACTCTAAGCGATTTTATTTGGATCATAAAACTGTTATACAAAAATTAATGTTCATATAATAGGCAACAGCCACATTTTCTTCCTATCCCAGAAGAAAAGTTCTCATTCACACAAGTAATGAGAAAGGCAAATTATCTAGGAATAAACTTCATAAGAAATGGATAAGATTTATGAGAAGATGTTCTAGGTAGAGTGATTGGAAGCTTAGAAATAACACTAGGCTCTCTAGTTAGATGCACTCACTTAAAGTCAGGTGGGGGAAGTTAGGAAGCCATCCTCCTATGGCTCCTGCCCCGCCCCCCTCCTCCCAGGAGGGTTGTGGGTTTCTTTGCAGCAAGTTCTAGTCTATTGTCAAGCTTCCTAGGTGTCAAGAAGCAGTAGGAGTTGTGGCAGCTTCTTGATCCAACTCTGAAATCACTGAGTCACTAAGGTGCTCATTCACCACATTCAGGCAGTGACTGATCTAGCCTTGGCATGTGCGTGAAGTAAAACCTTGATTTGCAAGCATAATTCGTTCTGGAAACATGCTTGTCATCCAAAGCATTCCTGTATCAAAGAGAATTTCAAGAACCATTGGCTCGGTTGTGATTATGTGACATTCGGCATCATGTACTACTCGTATTACAAGACATCGCTCATTTATCAAGTTAAAATTGATTAGAAATGTTTGCTTGTCATGCAACACTTGCCGGAAAAGTTATTTGCAACCCGAGGTTTTGCTGTATTTGGTATTAGAAATGGTTGCTGGCATCAGGTGCTCAAGACGGAAATCTGGGACTGGATCTGACCTGGCTGGGTTTGAAGATGGTGTCACTGGAGGAAAGTTGGATACTACAAATCTAGAGCACAGTGGGGACAGTTGTATCACCTGTGGTCACCTGGAACAGTTTACTGAAGGTGAGGCTTTAAATGGTTGCTACACCAGACAATTATGATGGGAATGAGGTATTCAAAAACTGTCAAGGATGGGTTGGCCTTTTCTCACTGTACTGGAGAGTTTTAAGAAAGAAAATGATATACTGAGAAAGCCCATAAGTACAGAAGGAAATTTAGTATATGATAATGATGACATTTAAATCACTAAGGGAAAGATGTATGATTAAGTAAATGAAGTTGGGCAAATGTGTAGCTATCAAGACATATGGTAAAGCTGGATCCATTCCACTTAAATCACACCAAAACAAATTTCCTTTTATTTATTTTTTAATTAATTTTTTTTTTTGAGAGAGAGCACAACAGAGTGTGAGTGGGGGAGGGGCAGAGAGAGCGGGAGACACAATCCAAAGCAGGCTCCAGGCTCTGAGCTGTCAGAGAGCACAGAGCCGATGTGGAGCTTGAACTCACAAGCTGTGAGATCATGTCCTGAGTTGAAGTTGGACACTCAACCGACTGAGCCACCCAGGTGCCCCAAAAACAAATTTCCTTTTACAAGGAAAAATGTGTCATTGTGAAATGTTTAGAAGAAATCATGGATGGATTTTCAAAGTAACGTAAGAAAGGTAAAGGTCTTTCTAAGTATGATACAACCTGGAAATACCAAGTAGTAAAAGAAAACCTTGGTAAGATTCACCAATTAGGAATAGAAAAGATCTGCATTGCCAAAACAGAACAAAACAAGGCAAAATAAGCCAAAAACACAAGCAAATAAAACAGCATAAGTTAAATCAAAAGATATAGCAAGCCGAGAAAAAGTTTTGATATTTGTATCTAAGAAAAGGACAATTTTTATCGTTATATAAACCTCTCTATTCAGTAGAAAATCAGACAAAATAGGGACACCTGAGTGGCTCAGTCAGTTAAGCACCTGACTCTTGTTTTCGGCTCAGGTCATGATCTCACAGTTTGTGAGTTTGAGACCCCCAATCAGGTTCTGTGCTGGCAGCATGGTATCTGCTTGGGATTCTCTCTCTCTATCTCTCTCTGCCCCTCCCCTGTTCTCTCTTTCTCTTTCTCTCTCTCAAAATGAACATTAAAAAAAAAAGAAAGAAAACATGACCAAATATATAAAATATAGTTCACAGAAAATGAAATACACATGTCTTTTTCACACTCCTAATAAAAGAAAGGCAAATTGAAACATTTTGTCATCTATCAGATTGGTTCCATTCCAATTCTGGCCAAAATGGGGTAACTTCACAGCAGCCTGTGTTTCTCCATTGAGCACTACTAAAACCTTTGGATAAAATATGCAAAAAAGGCTTTGTAAGCTGGAGAAAGTGGTGAAAACTTACTGTTTTTCCTCCTTCCTCCTCTGCCCTGAGGCCAGTGTGAGTCACAGTGCTGCAGTCGCTGTGGTTCAGTGACATAGGTAACTAAGACCCTGGAAGAACACCTGTCCCCCTGGACCGAGGAAGTGGGGAAAGGGACCCTTGTGTGCAAAGAGCATGAGGAGAATCCCTGTTATTTTTTTTTTTTCTCTCTCTCTTCCCTAATGCTGCCATTAGAGTAGCCCCAATTTCACAGAAGGGCATGATAGATGGAAAGCATAGGAAATTCCAAAAGAACCTTAGCTTTATGGCCAGCAGAACTGGAAGGAGGAGGTCCTGGGAGCCAGAAAACATGAAGGAAATCCCCAAAAGGAGAATCCCGAATTCTGCGCAGTGGTTTGTGATGCAGCAACAGGTAACTAACACAGGCATTATGAAATTAACTCACTCAGGTCAGCCGTTTGTGTTGTCCAACGACTGATTTGTCATACTTAACACAACATTTTAATTTGTTAATTGTGGAGATGAAATGAGATTGTCCATGTGAAAGGTATTTTAAAAAAAAATATTTCCATTCAAATTTTGTCCCCCCCCACTCCCGTCCTTCTGGTCACATAAACACCAGAAGATGAAGTTATATGGAGGGATGGCCATCCAAGTTCAGGGACTGAGAAGATAGGAAGACTGCATTTTTAAAAAGGCTAATGAGTAAGTAACGTTTAAACCTGTTGAAGCTCACAAACAATCCGTCCCAGTTTGCAGAAGAGAGAGAACTTCTGGACATACCCATGCGGGACTTACTACAAGACAGCCACGTGAGAACTGGTCAGTAAGGTTGTGAACTCCCCTGACAGAGCATTGGGATTCTAGAAAGAACAAACAGCCCCTCTCAAGTAACACGCTTCTGTCCCTGTCCCCCCATCTCCCTCCTTCCTGTCTTGAACCTGGAAGACCCAGGAAAGGGGCAGAGGAGTGGAAGAGCAGACCTCACTTCGCTGGCTTGGCAGGACTTGGAGGCATTCTTCTGGGCTGACCTGGGTGTAAAAGCGGGAACTCTTATAAAGGCTTCATCCATTGCTTTCTTTTGTTCCACTGAGAGTTATTGCTTGCCTGTTGGGGATCTAAAGGGTTCCAGACACTGGGGACATATCAGCGGACAAAAATGATAAAAATCCCTGCCCTGGTGAAGCTTACATTTGGGAGAGACTGACAGTAAACATATGATAATATAAAATGTTAGGTGATGAGTGCTGTGAAGAAAAGAACGAGGAGAGCAGGTAAGGTAGACGGTGGGACACGGAGGAGAGCAAGTATTAGGATGATCAGAAAGGGCCTCAGTGAGAAGGAAGGATTCTATTCCCTGGAGGGAGGAGAGGAAGTAAACAATCTCCTTAACTAAGGAAGGCAGAGGGAACAGCCAGGGCAAACACCCTGAGGTGGGAGGGGAGTGAGATCTAGGAAGAGCAGAGAGATGGATGCTGCCAGGGCGCAGAGAAGGGGAAAAGTAAGAAGTCTTCTGAGAGATGAAGGGTGGCGGGGGACTTGTTCCTATATGTGAAAGTGACAAGAAAATTGGGGTCTGGGCCATAAGAGACTGACCAGAGGAACATGTGACGAGGCATACAGGTTCCCCTGGCTATCCGAAAGTAGAGCAATCCTGTAAATTGAAAGGCGAAGAATAATCCCCCCCAACCTTGCTTTCCGAAAGTTCCTGTTTACAAAAGACCTACATTAGTACCCGTTTTCTCTAAAGAAAGGAAATCTGAAGAGGATTGACGCTTTTATTTAGAAAGCTTTTACTGAAGTAATGCAGGTCTTTCCTAAGAGCCTGGATACCGGTATTTTTTTTCTCAGCGTCTCTGTTAGGCTCCGCCCTCTCTAGGTGCGAAGGCCCAGCGAGGCCCCACCCCTCGTGGAGAAGCCGCCCATAAGACACGCCTCTCCCACCATGGTCCCGCCTCCTCTCGGAGTGACAGCCCATAGGACACACCCCTGCCGCCGTGTTCCCGCCCCCTCTCGGTGGGGCAGCCCAGCGAGGTCCCGCCCCCCAGCGTGGACAGCCCATAAGGCACGCCTCTCTCATCGTGGTCCCGCCCCCCTCTGGGAGTGACAGCCCACAAGGCACGCTTCTCCGGTGCCTTGCCGCGTCCCTACTCGCGGCGCAAAGCCAGCTAGGCCCTTCCTACCGTTTCCTCGGAGGCTTTCCTGTCCCCGCTTGGAGGGACGCCCCACTAGGCCCCGCCCCGCTCAGTGCGACGCAGCGCTGGGCTCCGCCCCTCCCGACGTGGTCCGGCCTGGCCCGTGCACCTTGGAGTCTGGGTCCTGCCGGGCCCGCCACACCCAGCGCCCGGAGGGTCCTCCTCACAGGCCTCGGCCCGCCCCCCGTCTCCAGCGTCGCTGCCGAGCCTCGGCGAGGCGCCGGCTGTCCCGCCCGCCTCCGAAGACGAGGAGCGCCGCTGGGGCCGGTGAGTGGGGGAGGGGGCCGCAGACCCTCTCTCGTCGGCGGCACGGAGCCCCCAGGGGCGCCGCCGGCAGCTCTTCCTTCCCGGGGTGCCTCCCAGTGCGGGCAGCGTGGGGAATGGGGAAGTGGGACCGGGATGGGCGCAGATGGGGGCTGGGGGAGGGAGGACTGAAAGTGTAGGGGGGTGGCAGGCGCAGGTGGGGGCTGGGGAGAGCCGAGGTTTGGGTAAGGGACACGGGTCTGGGGCTGGAGGGTTGGAAGAAACGTGGTGAAGCCGAAATCTGGGACTGCGGTCAGGACGGGGACTTGGGGGTCTTCGGAGCTAAGGATGAGGTCGTGGGTGCGGTTGGAAGGTTGAGGGGATCTCCGAACTGGTGTGGCTGGGGCGAACTTGCAGGGTCATGTTCTCTTCCACATCAGGGCGATTGGGTTTCCAGGCTCTTGACTGGCACACATCGTACGTCTTAAGTGGTAAGTGCAGGTCAGAGGCGGTGCCTGGGACACCTGAGAAACGTGGATGAATAGCGTTCTCCGCCCGTAGGCTGCTCGTTTCCCTGGTGCCCTCCCGGCGCCCGACTTGGCGCGCGCTGCCTGCGCAAACGCGCTTGCAGCCGCCCAGACGGTGGACGAGAGGTTCCGGGCTTGAAAAGTGCGGTTGAGGTTTATTCAGACCGAACAGCAGTTGGATCCCATTCCCTGCAGTCCTGCGGAGTTTACTTTCCAAAAATCGAATCCTGTGGAGTTTTAGAGAAATCAAATCGTTATTATCTGCCTCCTCTGATTTTGAAGTCTCGCACTAACTTACAGAACTCGGTGTTTTCCAAGGGCCCGTTCTGTGAGTATGACAGCTAGTTTTAAAGTCACTGTGGAAAGGAGATCACGTCTGTTCTGACCGGCTGCTGCTGAACGAATTGCATATTACAGGCGAAGAATGCAGTTTAAAAAATCTAAAGTAATGCAAGGGGATAGAAAAGGCCTAGGAAATTGGAGTGTGTGTCCTTAAAAAAAAAAAAAAAGCCAGTGAAACTTTTTCTTCCATTGTAGGACCTTGGAAGATAGAGAAAAAGCATAAGGATGAAAATTAAAATCCCATGCAAGTTCACCAACCTCGTTAACGTTTTGGTGCAATACTCCTTCATCTTCTTTGTATTTTGTTGTGTGTTAAATGTACCAATTACGCAATTGGGGTCATATTGCTATATTACTTTGTGGTTTGCTTTTACCCCCACCTGGCATTTTCCTGGATCGTTAAAAATTCTGCTGAAATAGCTGTTTGTGTGGTTGTGTGATCATCGTCTGGATTTGTCCTTTTATCACATGTTAAGAGTTTTAGTTTTGTGTCACGTGCTGTGCTTGCAAGTAAGATTCAGTGTTTTGCAGCGGGTTTCAGCCGTTATTCCACACAAAATAAGTAAAATCTTGGCAGAGTGCGTGGCGTAACGAGACTGGTTTGAATGAGAGGAGGAAGTGTTCTTGCTTCACTTCCTTGGTCAAGGGTCAGTTGGGTGCTCCCGTGGAGAGGTGGCCTTCTGGTGGCCAGCATCGCGTCAGGCCCAGGCTGGGCTGCTGTGGCCAGGCTCCCTTCCAGAATGTCCTGCCTCGTCTGCATCTTCCGGTACAGTCCTGATGCCATCAGGTCCCAGATATGTTTCCCAGGAAATGGTCCTCACGGGCTTCAATATCTTTTATAAGTGTCGCCGAGAAACTCCAGTGAGGGTGGGTGTGCATGGTGCCGATTTTCCACTCTCAAATTTGCACAGCATCTTATATAACACCGAGAGGCAGCTGCCCTGGGTCTCAAGGAAGAAGTGTCTCACAATTACTCTCATAATGAACAGCCTGTTGGAGGTTTCAGAAGCCATCTCTCTGTTTTCTTACCCCCCAGGGCCTTGTCCTGGCCATTAAAATTGCAGCTTTTCTCCTCAGGAAGTCCCTCTCATTTTCCAGCTCGATCAGTGTGGCCCTTCATTTTCCTCTCAACGATATGTTCCAGTGCTGCTTCATGACTGAGTGATTTGTGTCTGTTCCTCCTTGAGTCTGAAATAAGGTGATCTGTGAAGACTGCTTGTGCATTTCCTTCTAACTAGCCTTTGGATTTGTAATTCCGTTGGCTCCCTTCCAACCCCCCTCCCACCAAGCTCAGGAAGACAATAGAGTGTTCCCTTGTCTTTTCTTGATCCTTGATGAAAGATGCTTACAACCCTGGCCCCTCGTTGTTTATCTTCATGTGTGCATTTCACCCACTATGGTCAGGATTTACCTCTTTCTGCAGGCAGATGATTGCAGTAGCTAATATAAAAGCTGCATGAGTCCAGTTCATCTAGAGGCCTGGCTTTGGCCGTGTGTGCAGTGCAGCACGTGATAAGGACAGAGTTTGGGATGGCTGTCCTGTCCCCCAGAGTGTCTGTGGAACCTAAATGCTATGCCTTTTAGTCATTCTTGGCCGCTGACCTGGCTGACCGCTTGGATAAAAGGGGCAAATTGGTTGTGGTTGCAGAAATCGGTCTATCTTCCAGTGCCCAAGAAGGCTACGTACGTTGAATCATTGATTTTTTAGATTGGCCCCAACTGGGACCACCAGCCTCTCTTCTGTACCCACCCTTAAAGCCCTCCCGTGCCCCCATCTGGTGCTTTGGCCCCATGTATGAGTCATGTGCATGAGATGGCAGACCAAGCTCCCGTGAAGTCCCTCTGGTAAAAGTGGATTGCAGAACTCAGCTTAGGCTTCTTGTTTTTCCTGCCTTGGACGTGCCCTTCATGCCATTGGGCCCACCAGTGGGGAGAAGTGGGTTTAGCACCAGCCTGGATTCCACTGGCCAGCGCATTACAAAATTGAGTCCTTCTTACCTGCACCCTGCTGCGTGCAGGACACAGGGACAGGAATCCCCCAAGGAAAGGGCGTCCCAGAGCTGTTCCTGTATAGAGACAGAAATTCCCTGAGCAACGGGTGCCCCCCGGTAGGGTGCAGGGACAGGAAGGAGAAAGCACAGAAGGTGTGGCGTGACGGGAGTGGGGCATCTTGGGTAACCAGGCATCGTGGCCCAATGGATGCCTAAGTGTCGAACAGCTGAAAACAAGCATGAACAGAGCAGAGTGGTCCTTCAAGGGCTGTCACCAACAGCGTTGAGACCTTGAGAGCATTTTATGTACTGGAGCCTTCAAGGGATCAAGGCTTCCCAGGCTCCACTAACACGCCTCTGCGGGGCAGTCTTTTCCCACCTGGCGTGGGTCAGGGCAGAGTCCGAGGAACACGGGCACGGGCGGTACTCTGTGAGGCTGTGCAGCGCGGCCAGGCCAGTGTTTCTTCTAATGACAAGACTGTAAAACTGACCTTTTGACTAAGTTCAGAGAAGGAATAAAAAGAAAAAGATCTTTGTCATACTGCCTGGTATCATTCAGCGAGCGCTGGATTTCAGTCCTGTATCTGCCACACTGATCGTGTGATTTCGGACCTTGTGAACATGATCCAGTGAGGTCACGAGACTAAATGACCCCTAAGGCTCCTTCTGCTCTAACAGTTCTCTCACCGCCCCGCTCCTCTGGGGTTTTTGGCCCCCTCCTTCTGGAGAGTAAGGGGGTGTGCCCACGTACGGAGCCCTTCATTTGATATACTGTTGGAGAGAAGGCTTTTCATTGTTGGTGAACCTTTACTCCAAACAATTTTTAAAGTTGGGCGACTTCTTTTTTACAAAGTTAGCATGTTTAAAAAAAAATTTTTTTTAATGTTTTATTTATTTCTGAGAGAGAGAGAGAGAGACAGCGTGAGCAGGGGAGGGTCAGGGAGAGAGGGAGACACAGAATCCAAAGCAGGCTCCAGGCTCTGAGCTGTCAGCACAGGGCCCTATGTGGGACTCAAACCCACAAACCATGAGATCATGACCTGAGCCGAAGTTGGCCGCTTAACCGACTGAGCCACCCAGGTGCCCCTAAAGTTGGCATGTTTTTAATCTGGGCACTAAAGCAAATGATCTTGTATTATATAGTTTTAAAAAGTATCATTTGGCCTTTCCTAAAGGGTACATTTTACACTTCTTGTTCAAAATGTGGGACTTCTATTTTACAACTGTAAAAGCCATTTTTTTCTAATTATAAGGAAAAAAAACCCTTGCTTATTAAAATTCAAATCAAAAAGAGAAATGTTAAGAAGAAAATAACAATCATCTTAAATCCTACTACCTGGACATTACAGTTTGGAGAAATATACCTGCCTAATCATTGATGGGCTGTTTCTTAAAACACACATAGTATAGACTGAAACATGAGTGTAGCTACACATAGTTAAGGATGTGAGCTCTGGCCTCTGGGTGCCTGAGGTTATTAAGTCCCAGCTCTCCTGCTCACTACTGTGTGATGTTGGACAAACTACTTAACCTCTTTGGCCTCAGTTTTCTCATCCTGCTAAATGAAAGCCTTAGAGTTGGTGTGAGAATTTAATGGGTGACCCAATGCTTTGCATGTAAAGGCCCCAAAGTTAGCTAGTGTTGTTGTCATTTTGATATTAGTATGGATCATATATATCCATATATGGGGTCTTGGTTTGCGTTTTTTTTTTTTTTTTTACCTTACAGTGTATGATGTTCTCCAGTTAATATGGTTGTACCTGTATTCTAGTATTGGTGCTTCTGTTGTATAGTTGTGATGTGTAAATACTTCATGTATTTAGCCAGTCCCTCTTGCTGGATCTTCAGGTTGTAGGTTGTTTCTTTTTTGTTTCATTGCCATAACTAAACCCCAAAATAAATACGAAAGAGAGAAAAGAAGTTGTAACGAACTTCCACTGAATGTGTATTTTATATCTCCTTGGCATAAAGTCCTAGAAATGACATTGTTGTGTTGAACGGTAGGAGTATTTAATATTATTTTTCATACTGCCACTCTGCTTTCTGGAAAGATGGTATCAAATTGCAACATCTGTCAGCTATGTGTGAAAGTGCCCGAATTTCCACACCTATGCCGGAACTGGGTTCTGTCCACCTTTCAAACTCAGCAAACCTGAAAAGGGTTTCTTTTATTATTCTTTTATTATTACTATTATATTTATACATTTATTATTTATTATTTCTTTTATTAGTATGTTTGAACATCTTTTCAAAGTGTTGGCTGCTTGTGTTTCTTCTTTTGTGACTCGTGATTTCAGTGTTTTGTATTTTTTTTTTGATTTGTAGGAACTCTTTGGATGTCAGAGATGGTGACGCTTTTGTCTGTATTACTTTGGAAATCTTGTTAGGGCTGTCTCAAGTAATGAACGGCACGTAGTATCTCAAATGAGAATAAGTTGATGAGCAAATATTTATTACGTATTTCTAGCTAGGGCTCATATAGATGCTTAGAACTGAAACCTGCATTTAGAGTCTAAGGAAGATTGTTTTATGGCCTGGTAATTATGAATACGGTGGGCCTTTTATTACTGACTGAGGCAATGCAAAAATGCCAGAGAGCTGGCACCTTTGATACATGGCCACATATACCCTGCAGAGCTCTTGATTATGCCTTTAATCTAACCATTCCTGTCCGGCTTGGCTCTTTACTTCCTCTTTCCCACATTCCAGGTTAGAAACCTCGGAGTTATCTGTGGATGGACCTTTTCCAAGTTGAAGGCTACTTGATTCTCAGCCTCCCTTCCCAGAAGGTTAACCTCACCTCCTCAGGCTGCCCTGCCCCCACCCAGTTTCTGCTCTTGTGCTCAGGCCTCCTGTTAGCGTGTTAGAATGATCTGAGGCACACTTGCTTCTGCTTTAAGACTGTGAGCTCCCTGGAAGCAAGATGGGAGCCTTACTTACTTTTGTACCTTCGGACTCTATCACAGCATGGCTCAAAATAAGCACCTCATATATGTTCGTTGTATTTGATGCCTCCATTTAAAAGACAGTGAGGCTTAAGCCTCTGTAGTGTACTGGTACATTAACCATTTTCCCCAACTTTTCGTTCTGAAAAATTTCAGCAGTTCAGGAGAGTTGAAAGAATAGATGGAAAACACTCATAGTCTTGCCCCCTAAATTTACCTATGGAGATTCGTATCACTCTGACACGTAGCTGATTCTCTACTCAGAAACCAACAGTGACTCCGTTCTGGCCATTGGAGCAGATGTGAAGTGTAGCATTCCTTTTCCTTAAATGGTCACAGCTCACAAAATGTTGCCCTCTCTGCTCTGGTCTGGCCAGTCTTACTGTTCTTCTCCTGTACTGTCTATTCTTACGTCGTTGATTTTACATGTGATTTCCCTCCGTAGAACATGCTTCTTCCTTTTTCTTGATTGAAAACTTTTGCTCATTAAGTATTCTGAGTCCCTATAGCTCTAATTGCTAATTTTTATCATTCTTGCATTCTGTATAGTTCCTGACCACATTGTTAGCTGTTAGGAGGCGAGTGCTGGGTCCTGTTTTGATCTGCTTACCTTCATAGAGCCTGGCATGCCCACTTTGGATTGGCTGGTTTTTTACAACAGTATTCCAGAAGCATTTGTGCTATGATGTGAATCCAGCATTGATTTTTAGGACCTATGCGACCCCCAAACTTATGCTCTGTTAGAGTGAAACAAAAGCTCATCAGTCTAAGCCAAATAACCTAGGTCTGTTTGATTTGCTTGTTGCAAGATCGTAATTCACCCCAAGGAACGGAAGGCTGTTCCATGGTGTTGGTCACTCCTTTTGCGATTATTCCCAAGAATTGATTTGCACTTGTACTTTGGAGTCATTAAAACTCACATCAAGTACAAAGTTAGAATAAGTAAGGCTAAAGTCTGGAAATTGTCTCTGCTGCGAATCACTCGGTTGGAGAGATTCACATGAGAAACATTTTAGAGGGTGGCCATTAGGCCTTAGTGACTGAAGCCGTTTGTGGGTATCCAAGTTGATCAGAGTATTTTTCAAGCTTGGAAATGGAGATAAAGATGATATTCCTAAGAAAGAGAAACTAGGAGGGGAAGCTGATGCCGGGGACTTCACCTCCATACCTCAACATGAACTCGGACTGGGTCAGTTCCCTACTCATACTCAGCTGGTGACTCCCATTGTTTATTTGACAAAGCCCAGTTCCTTTGTGATCTTGGTCCCTGGTTAGATACCTGCTCATTCCCGTCCTAGCACCCCGCCCCCCACCCCTACACACATAAGTAGCATGGTAACCATACCTAGTCACTTGTATTTCTCTGATTCTGTTGGGCATTTTTCATCATTAGTTTATACAGGAATGCTGTTTCTTCTGCTTAGAATGCCCTCCAATATTGCTGGCAAACCTCTATTCATTCCTCCAAACCCTGTTCAGGTTTCACATCCTTTGTAAATACTTTCTAACTCTTCCTGTGTGACAGCATAATTTAGACTTTTGCCCTTCCCTTACCTGACTGTCCTCTCTTCCCCCTGCTGGGTTCTGAGCTGCTTACAGAAAAGGATGACATTCCCCCTGACTTTGTACGGGCCTGGCTCACACGTGTGCTTTGAACCATTGGTCGAACCTTTCAGATAACCCATCTGGATCATGAGAAATTTTCCTTTTTCATGGAAGCCAGAATTAGGTGTAATTAAGAGAAAATACAAATATATATTTGTTTATATATTTCACTTTTCCATTATAACGCGTGTGCTTTTTATTTTATTTTAATTTCAGCACGTTTGTAAAAGATGAAAGTGACCTTATCAGGTTTGGATACTTGTGAGAGTTCCTTCACGCCTTTGGTAGTCCTAGAACTTGCCCAGGATGTCAAAGAAGAAACCAAAGAATGGCTGAAAAACAGAATTATCTCTAAAAAGGAAGATGGAGGCAAGTAAAACAAATATTACTCAGACTTAGTCATGATCAGTGACAAAATGTATTTTCAAATGTTTTACAGTTTTTCATTGATATATTTCTTCAAAAAAAGTTTTTTTTGGAGGGAGAGAGAGAGAGTGCAAGTTGGGGAGGGGCAGACAGAGAGGGGAGACACAGAATCCGAAGCAGGCTCCAGCCTCTGAGCAGTCAGCACAGAGCCCGACACGGGGCTCAAACTCACAAACTGCAAGATCATGACCTGAGCCAAAGTCGACTCAGTCAACTGACTGAGCCACCCAGGTGCCCTTCACTGATATATTTCTAAAATTAATATCCATTTCTTTGCTCTTTATTATTTATCTGGACTTGAAAGGCACTCCTAAGTCAGCATGAGACTGTAAGCAGCACAAGTGTGATTTTGTTCACAGCTGTAAATACTGTGTCTGGTACACTGCCTGGTGCATAGTAGGTCAGTATTTATCAAGTGAGTGGACAGATTTCTATTGAGTGCTTCATGTGTCAGGTATGATGCTAAGAGGGGTTAATATGGTCACTGCCTGAAAGGATGTTGCTGTCAGTGTAAGGAGGCTGAAGGCCGATTCCTGGAAACTGAAGTTACAGAACAGCAACACAAGAACAAAAGCCCTAATGAGCGCACTGTTACAAAGCAGTGCACGATACTTTAGAGTGGACTGGATGTAAACTCGCTAGAAGAGGAGAGGGAAGAAAGAGTTGACCCTTGGCGATGCTTTTCAGGGTGGAAAAGGATGACTTTATAAAAGAAGCCTAAGCTTAGGCCCCTCCCAAAGGGCAAAAGAGGGTCTAGATCTGGGGGGAGAGAGTGGAGGGCATTTTACATGAGCAAATGCTTCATAAAACTGTACAAAGCAATACCTAAAACTTTACCAAGTCTCCAAACACTGAATACAACTTAGACTTTTTTTTTTTTTAAATATTTTGACTGTAAACTGAAGTGCTTTCTTAAAAATAAAACCCTTTGATTCAAAATCAAAGTGGAATTTTTAATTTTTTGGAAACAACCAAACCAAAAGAAAACTTGAGAACAGGAGTACCTGCTTATTAAAATCTGAGGTGTTTCACTGGATTGGAGTCCTTTCCTTCCTCCCTCCCTTCCTCCCATCCTTCCATCCTATGTTTGTTTATTTTTGTGAGAGAGAAAGAGACAGAGAGACAGACAGAGATAGAGACAGAGAGAGAGACACAGAGTGTGAGACGAGGAGGGGTAGATAGAGAGGGAGACACAGAATCTGAAGCAGGGTCCAGGCTCTGAGCTGTCAGCACGGAGTCTGACATGGGGCTCGAACCCTCCAACCATGAGATCATGACCTGAGCTAAAGTTGGACGCTTAATCGACTGAGCCACCCAGGCGCCCCTGGAGTCCCTTCTTTAAAATTCCTGTGATGGAAGAGCATTTGTAGTGCCTAAGAGTGAGAGACTTCAGTGTATTCCCAGTCTTCTCTGTTCATTGTGTGGCCTCAGCAAAGACACACAAGAATGGGGAAGCAACGGGCATCTTTCTACTGCTGGGAAATCAAAAAAGAACATTCCAGAAAAGTATTCTGATCTTTCAGGTAAAGGCAGTAGGTTTAACACTCATGTTTACTTTTACTCTCTTTTGAACTCCTGTTGAAATGACAATAAAAGGATTTTTTTAAAAAAGGTAGAAGTCCAGTTTGACAAAGACGAAAGGAAAGACTATAACAGCAGCACCATTTTGGAAGCTAGAAAACAGGTGGATGAGTCGTAAATACCTTTTCAGATTTGAAAAAGCCAAAGCTGAAGCTGACAGGGCTATGAGTTGAGGTGTGTTTGGTTTATAGTGAGAATACCTCTGAAAACTTGGATATCAGTGACTCTAGAGATCGGTGGAGGTGGAAATAAGTGGTACCAAGAAAAGGAAAAAAGAATCGACCGAGATCCGTTTAAGAAATAGTTAGATTCCCCCGATCCCTTCTGTGTTCTACCATCACAGCAGAAGACACTGAGTTATTCTCTGCAGAGGGTCAGATGTGTGGATTTTGGCATGGGGGCTTTATGCACAGTTGAAAATAGAGATTCTGTGCCAAAAGTAAGATAATAACTGAGTATTGTTACCCCTGTCCTCCACCTCACCAATCTCCTACCTAATTTGGTATCTAAAAAGGTAAGCTAGATTTAGTCATCTAGGAGGCAGATTGAATAATCTTTCCTGGGGACTTGACCAAAGACAAAATCACCCAAGGTGCAGAGATCAGAGAGTTGCCCACGAAAAATGACATGGCCAGATGACTGTGCATGAAAGGCCATCTTTAATGAGCTCTATCTCAGCCTTCAGAAGTTGGCCAGACCCTCTTAGAACCCCTTTCTTAAACATGCGCATACAATAAAAGATCACCCAGCATATGAGGCAAATTCCCTAACATGAAAGACAAAGCTAAACTAAACAAACTGACAAAACCAGCAAACTGCAGAAGAAGAAAACCAAGAGAAAATTAAAAACCCAACTCTCAGTTATGAGAAGGTAGGACATTCTATAAATCAAGAGTTGGATGCTGTTAAATGTTCATTTAGAAAAAAACCTCTTATAAAGTGAAAGTGTGAAAGCACAGGTTAAAAATTCAGTAAAAGAGTTAGACGGTAATTTTGATAAAACCTACCAGAAGGTAGAGCAAGAAGGTACAGAATTGGTACAGAAAATTTGACAGAGAAAAAATAAGGAAGTTAGAACTAGTTCAGGAGGTACACATCTGAATAAAAGGAGTTCTAGAAGAGGAAAAGGAGAAGAAATCGTCCAAGGAAAACGCAAGGTTGGTGCCCGACTTTTTCAGTTGGAAAGGGCCCACCTAGTGCCCAGCACTATAAATGAAAAGGCATATCATTGGAAAGTTCTGGAATCCTGGGGATGGAGAAGATACCACACACTTCAAGAAAAAAGGTCACATATACAATGATAACATATATGAGGATCAGACTTCTTAGCAGAAACGTGGGAAGCTAGAAGGCATTTTCTGAAGGAGATCGACTTACGTGTAAATTTTATTTATTTGGAAGATAGAGTTGAATTGTTAATACATTTTCCTTATATCAGACTAGAAACAGTACTTCCTTAGAATGTTTTTGTTCTTGAAAATTTTTCCAAGATTGTGCTTATCTTTTGTTTTTGAAGGTGCCCAGCTGCTGTTTAGACCGTTGTTAAATAAATATGAGAAAGAAACGCTAGAAAATCAGAACCTATATCTTGTTGGTGCCTCTAAGATTACATTGTTACTGGGTGCGGAAGCAATAGGTCTGGTCAAAGAGTGTAACGATAACACTATGAGAGCCTTCACATACGGAACCCGCCATAACTTCAAAGATTTTGATGGTGAGTCCCAGGATTGTTTTTGTCAGAATCGTTTTATCTGAAAAGTCACTTTTTGATCAGTAGGTCAGGGGTCAACAAGCATTTTCAGTGAAGGGCCAGGTAGTAAATATTTTAGGCCGTGTGGGCCAGATGTTCTCTCGCCGTTATTCAACACTATCCTTGTAAAGCAAAAGCTGCCTGAGACCCTAAGAAATGAATGGGTGCAGCTGTGTTCCACTAAAATTGGCTTATAAAATATGGCCCATAAAAGACCTCACTTTGTGATCCCTGGAATAGATGAACATAAATTAGAGAGATACCTGTAACTCGTTTCCATTAGTCTATTCTAATTCTTAGAATGGTGTGTGTTCACTAGCTGGATACAGAAAAATGTTATAATGAGAAGTGCAGTAGCAGTTCGGTATTCTAGAATTGCCATTTCCTGGTAGGGTCTCAGGTTCTTTGCTGGCCTCCTAGTGAGTTCCAGAAGAGAATGGTTTCTGGAAAGAACTGAGAAAGCCAGTATGTCAGAGTGGAAGTTTCGCTTCAGCATAAACTGGTCCCTTTCAGGGCTTTTGGAGTTAGAAGATGTGATTAGGCTTCTTCAAACTCCCTCTGGACTTTTATATCTTTATGCTTTATTAGCATAAGTGATAATAAAAATTCACCTCATTGAGGAGGATTCGCTTGTCAAAAAACAACAGTTTTTTTTTTTTTTTTTTTTTTTTTTTTTTTTTTTTTTTTTTTTTTTTTTTTTTTTTTTTTTTTATCAGACTGCCTTCTCCTTCATTTATGGGAGGAATGTTCAACTCCAGAAGGGAATAGCCTGGGCTGGAGAGTTTGAGGGAGGAGAATTTGTCATGTAGGTAAACTTCAGTTCCATCCCTAGTTAGAATAGTGTTATAGAATTCTGCTCATTGGTATTAAATGAGATCAAGCAAGTGTCTGCCATTTGGATATTTGTACCATATTCTATAAGAACTAGTACCATAATTCCCCTGTCCCTTAGCAGTGGGGGTAATATTTAAAGACTCTCAGTGGATACCTGAAATAGCATACAGTATAGGCTGTGATTTTTTCCTATGTACACATACCTATGATAAAGCGTAATTTATAAACTAGACACAGTAAGAGATCAATAACAGCAATAATAAAATAGAACCGTGATAATAATCTACTGTAATAAAAATTATGCAAACGTGGCCTCTCTCAAAGTATCTTAAATTACTGTATGCACTGGTCTTCTTGTGATGATGTGAGATGATTAAACGCCTGCCTGATGAGGTGACGTGAGGTGAATGACCTAGGCATTGCATCATGGTATTAGGCTACTCCTGACCTTCTGACAGGAGGTCAGAAGGAGGCTCATCACCTCTGGACCGTGACTGATGCAGGTAACTAACTGCAGAAAACAAAACCTCAGATGAGGGAGGCCCATTGTACAATGATTGAAGGAGTGTATTATGTGAAGGCAAAACGATATTTTTATTCTTATAAAGAGGTGCTTTATGTTCTATTTAATTTAGCAGTTTTATACTCTGCTTACTCCTTATGTTATTTATTATTTATATCATCATTTCTATAATCCCAGGTTATTTGAATATTATTAATTTTATTTTGGCCATTATGAGAAAGTAACTGGATTTTTTTGGTCTTCATTTAGATGACAATGACGACTTCCTTACAATGGCAGAATGTCAATTCATTATCAAACATGAACTTGAAAATCTTAGAGCCAGAGAGGAAAAGATGATCCCTGGTTACCCCCAGGCGAAGTTGTATCCAGGAAAATCACTATGTAAGTCATTATATCAACCACTTCATGAATACATGTTCTAAAGCAATTATTTTTTGCTTAGTAGACATGAATAACAAGTTAAAGAAGCTTTATTTTTTATTTTTTCCTCTTACTGAAAAACATACAGAACTTTACAATAACATATTTTCATGAACCCATCTTTTGCCATTAGAGCTTCATTATATTGTACTTTTAGATCAATCTATTTGTTCTATTTGGTGTGCTCCTCCTTATTTCTCAAGATCTCACAGCATTTGGTTTGCTTAAAATTGGGTGTGAACACATATGCATGTTCCTCAATACAGATGAGCAAAGTTTACGTTATGCCCGGATGAGGAATGGAAATGGGAGCCATTGTCTTTTCCTGGAACCCTCTTTCCACCTCCCCTCATTTCAGTGGGTGAGGACATAGGAACAAGGCTTCGGAAGAGGCATAAAGTGACATAATACCTGACTGTAAATCAACAGTTTGCAGTTTTATGGTTTTGTCAGCCCAGTTGAATGAGAATACTAATTGGCAGACAAAGTGCTCACTATGGTGTGTGTGTTTCCAAGTTTGCCTCAGACCCCTACACCCTCAGGGTGGCAAGGCCTCAGCGCATATTTGCTGCCCAAATATACTTTAAATTTTTTTAAATTATTTTTTAATGTTTCTTTTATTTATTTCTGAGAGAGAGAGACAGAGCATGAGCAGGGGAGGGTGAGAGAGAAAGGGAGACACAGAATCTGAAGCAGGCTCCAGGCTCTGAGCTGTCAGCACAGAGCCCGATGCAGGGCTGAAACCCATGAACTGTGAGACCATGACCTGAGCTGAAGTCGGACACTCAACCGACTGAGCCACCCAGGCGCCCCCCAAATATACTTTAAATATATAGTGTTCTACTGTGTTCTTTAGTCAGTGTAACACTACCTTCCCGGCTTCACCCAGCAAGACAGATGCCAGCCCACATTCAAATTTTCCCTGTTGTCATCAAATCTGGATTAGAGTTGGTTTGTTCAAACCCAGATCCAATCATAGATCACCCATTTTATATGGTGGTTGTATCTCTTAACTAACTCTCCTTCTCTTGTTGTGATAAAGTACACATAACATAAAATTTAAAGACTGAAGATTAAAAATTTTAAAGATTTTCACTGGCATATATATGTTCAGAATATCGTACAGCTATCATCACCATCCCTCTTCATAGCTCCCGCCATCTTGTAAAACTGAAACTCTGTATCCATTACACAGTCACTCTCCCTTCTCCCCTTCCCCCTGCCCCAGCAACCTCCATTCTACTTTCTGCCTTTATGGTTTTGACTACTCAAATAAGCACAGTCACACAGTATTTCTCTCTTTGTGACAGGTTTATTTCACTTAGCATTGTGTCTCCTAGGTTTGTCTATGTTGTAGCATATGTTGGAATTTCCTTCTTTTTTAAGACTGAATAGTATTCCTCTGTGTGTGTGTGTGTGTGTGTGTGTGTGTGTGTCACACATTTTGCTTGTTTACACATCCAACAGTGGACCACATTTTGCTTGTTTACTCATCAATCAGTGGACCCCTGGGTTGTCTCCACCGTTTGTCTATTTAGAATAATCCTTTTATGAACATGGGCATGCAAATATCCCTTCAAGATCCTGCTTTCAATTTTTTGGGTATATGCCCAGAAGTGAAATTTATGGGTCACATGGTATTTCTATTTTTAATTTTTTGAAGCACCTCTATACTGTTTTCTATAGCAGCTGTACCATTTTATATTCCCATCAATAGTACCTAAGGCTTTCAATCTCTCCACATCCTTGCTAGCACTTGCTGTTTTCTGATATTTTGATAGTAGTCATTGTAACAGGTGTGAGGTGATGTCTCATTATGGTTTGATTTGCATTTCCCTGATGATGTTGAGCATCTTTTTTTTAATGTTTATTTTATTTTTTGAGAGAGAGAGAGCACACATGTGTGTTATTAGTGGAGGGGCGGAGAGAAAGAGACAGAGGATCCAAAGTGGGCTCTGCACTGACAGCACAGAGCCCGATGTGGGGCTCGAATGCATAAACTGTCAGATCATGACCTGAGCTGAAGTTGGATACTTAACTGACTGAACCACTAAGGTGCCCTGAGCCACATGTACTTATTGGCCATTCATATATCTTCTTTTGAGAAATGTCTTTTCAAGTCCTTTGCCCATTTTTGAATCAGGTTGTTTTTTCTTGTTGAGTTTTAGAAATTCTCTATATATTCTGGATATTCATCCCTTATCAGATACATGACCAGCAAATATTTTTAACCTATTTTGTGGTTTGCCTTATTACCGTGTTGATATTGTCTTTTTAAAAAAGAGTTTGTTTATTTTGAGAGACAGAGAGCAGGGGAAGGGCAGAGAGAGAGAAGGAGAGAGAGCGAATCAATATCAAGCAGGCTCCACACTGTTAGCACAGAGCCCAACGTGGGGCTTAAACTCAAATACTATGAGATCATGACCTGAGTCAAAATCAAGAGTCAAGCGCTTAACTGACTGAGCCACCCAGGTGGCCCAATATTGTCTTTCAACGCGTAAAATTTTAAAATTCTCATGCAGTCCACCTTATGTATTTTTTCTTTTTGCCTGTACCTTTGGTATCATATCTAAGAAATTATTGCCAGTGTCATGAAATCAAATCCAATGTTACGAAGCTTTTCCTTTATATTTTCTTCTAGGATTTTTGTCGTTTTGAGTCTTAAATTTAGGTCTTTAATCCATTTTGAGTTAACTTTGTCTATGGTGTTAGATAAGGGTTCAATTTTATTCTTTTGCATGTGGAGCTCCAGTTTTCCCAGCACCATTTGTTGAAAAGACTGTCCTTTCCCCCATTGAATGGCCTTGGTACCCTTGTCATAGATGATTTGTCCATAACATGCAAGGATTTGTTTCTGACCTCTGTTCTGTTTCATTGGTCTCTGGGTCCATATGCCAGCACCACACTGTTTTTGGTACTGTGGCTTTGTGGTAAGTTTTCAAGTCAGGAATGTTTTTCTTTTTCAAGATTGTTTTGGCTATTTGAAGTACCATGAAATTCCATATGAATTTTATGATGGGTTTTTCTATTTCTGCAAAAGGCATCACTGGGATTTTGATAGAGACTTCATTGCATCTATAGATTGCTTTAGGTAGTATTGGCATTTTAACAATGTTAAGTCCCATGAACGTGGGCTATGTTTCTATTTATTTATGTCTTATTTAATTTAGCATTGTTTTGTAGTTTTTCATTGTATGAATCATATAGTTAATTTCTAAGTATTTTATTCTTTATGATGCTATTATAAATAAATGGGATTGTTTCCATAATTACCTTTTCGGATGATTCATTGTTAGTATATAGAAATACAACTTGTTTTTGTGTACTGATTTAGTATCCTGCTACTTTACTGAATTCATGTATTAGTTGTGACAGTGTTTTTGTGGAAAAGTTAGGGTTCACGACATAAAAGATAATATCACCTCTGAACAGAGATTATTTTACTTCTTCCTTTCTAATTTGCATGCATTTTATTTTTTCTCTAATTATTTGGACTAGAACTTCCAATAGTGTGTGGAATGCAAGTGGTGAAAATGGGGATCTTTGTCTTATTCTTGATCTAGGGGAAAAGCTTTCAGTCTTTCACCATTCAGTATATTTGCTGTGGAGTTTTCATCAAGTCCTCTCTGTCTGCATCTGGGCAGTGGGGCAGTGGTCCCTGCCCCTCAGTGTCCAGAGAACCCTGCCTTCCTCCTTGGCCCCAGTTAGCAGAGGCATGGGTACTCTTGGCTTAGCCTGGGCTGACTTTTAAAGGGTCTTTTCATGGTTTGTGTTTTGGATTTATATATATCATTTTCTTACTTTCATCAGAGATAGGGGTTTGCCTTTATGTGTCTTGTTTCCTTTGTTGTTTTTCACTTTTGTCACGAACAAGAAAAGAGCAGAGGTGTCTTTCTGCCACGTTTTGTTACCAGGAATTCCACATTCTGTATTCAGGCAGTTGTTTGGTGCCTTTCCAGAATTTTAAATTTTTCTTAATCTCAGTGGGAATCAGACAGAGCTGGGTACAAAACAGACTGAGTCACTGTCTCGGTTGTTGATGTCAGCATCCCATTTCTTCTTGTTTATCTACATTACTCAGGTTCTTACGTGGAAGTTCCTGCTTCCATCTGTTAGATTTGACACAGTACATCGTCTTCGCTGTGTCTGGGACCAAGGCTATGGGTGTGCTATCATGAGATGGGATGCTGGAGCAGCAATTTTCCAGGTGCCCTCAGTTGCCTCAGAGAGAAATTTTCAACTTAATGAAAACCTTGAAGGGAGTATATGTAAATGAATTTTTCTTGGCGTCCTAAAACCGTAATAGAAAGAAGATTCTTGCTGGCAGATTGAGGCTTTTGTAAACAAGGATCCTCCTCTCTCTTCTTTCGTAATATGTATAAAAACAATAAAATCATCTCAGTCATGATAATTTGAAAACTTTTTTGAGCTTCTGGGAGTTGGTGGAGCAGCATGGAGACCCTGAGCTTGCCTCTTCCCTGAAACACAGATCAGCATCAAGCTATTTTGCACATCTAGGACATTGATCTGAGGATTAACACAATAACCTGCATAACTTGAGCCACAGAACTCAGCAGATACACAGTGCAGAGAGGTGAACTTGGAGAAAGAAAAGCTGTGGAGCGTAGGGAGCTGTTTTTATGGAGAAGGCATAGAGAAAGGCAGAGAGTGCAGCATGTTAGGAGAGTGCAGGAAAAGCATTCCCCTGAAAGTAGCTGGAGAGAAAGAGAGAGAAAGAGTGAAAACACTCTTGGGAGACTGAACAAGAAGTCTGTTTCCCAAAACCATTGATGGGAAGAAAGGAGAGGGTTCCAGTACCCCAGGATTCTATAAACAGAGGAGTACAGAGTCTGAAGGTTTGGAGCTCAGTGCCTGGTGGTGCTTGAGTGAGGAAGTAGGGTGAATCCCCAGGAACAGGCAATGGGATCTGAGGGGTCCATGTGCCACATGGGGAGAAGTGG